TATATATAACAATGACATGTGATGAAGGTGAAAAGCTCTGCTGGTTTCATCTGTTTCTATAGTCCCAAAACACTAGTTATTACAGTTACACATTATTCACATTTCTAAAAAAAATTCTATGCTTAATAAACACTGGAGAACTTTTTACAAATATCTAATAAATTATACTGAAAAAGAATCTGAAGAAATTCTGCAAACATGATTTATGACAAAACAGTGACATCTTCTGGCCATGTTTATGACAGCAGGACAGGCAGTGTTATTTCTATTCATGTTTAACTGTGAAAAACTGAAGAAGAAAAGTTTTTATTTCAGTCAAATTTAATGCTGTATTTTTTGTATCTTAACAAAATTTGGTCTTTTGGGCACTCAGTCCTATTTCCTGGGAATGAACTTATGTGAACCCTTTAGATAAACAGCAGCCAATTTCAATACAGTGGGTAACAGGAACTAAATGGGCTCTTTGTAGACTGCATCAGAACACAAAGCAGAAGAAATGGGATCTAACATTATTTGATGTAATTAATGACAGTCACAGTTCTTCACTGCAGTACAATGAATATTTCAAAGGCAGTTCCTGTTGCATTATCTGGTTGGATGGTAGGTAATCTGATTACCAACCACCAGGTCACATGTAAACTACATTTCAGTGTGTTGCACTCCTCTGTCAGACATGGCAGGTATAATATTACTGTTTTATTACATCACTAACATACATAAATTTAAAAACAACACATCATTGTGCCGCTGGCTTACATGCGCCCCACAGCAGACCTGATCTGCTCCAGCTGTCAGAACAGACTCTACTACAGTCAGTTACTCTGGTTTTCTCTTTAATAAAATGCAGATCTGGAGCAAATAAAACATCTGTTGGGGTTAACTATGTCTGAAACAGGAGGTCTGAAAGATATAGGCAGTAAAACCAGTGAAATCTCCCACTTCTCCAGATTTGATCACTTCTTTAGAGTCTGAACAGACAGAGATAAGATCAGGTCCATGTTAAAAAGTATCCAGAACTGGAGACCAATTGCCAGTGTAAACCCAGTTTGTGGTGTTCATGGCAATTCTCATGTCTGGTTACTCTGACACTTTGACCCGAAAAGTGACGCGACCCAGAAATTTGTCTCGCTCATCATCATTGCGGAGGTTAGAACCCTCAACTTTACACTCCACCGTCTGCTCGATGTTATAGTCTTCTTTTGTGAACAATAACTTGACTGCAACAAGCGGTTGCACGTAGTCAGGCTGTAAACGGAGAGAGAGGTTGTTAGCTGTAGCTCATAGCCATCTTCTTGGCTTAACCTCATCTAACAGGAGTCTTCTGCAGCCTTTGCCAGCAATTTTATTGAAGTTATCCAACTAAAAATATGGCTGTTGTGTAGTTAATTGTACTGGCAGACCAATCCAAGAAGTCTGAGCTCCAGTTTTCCTGAGTGGTGAACTGTATGGGAGAGAATTATTCAGCTAAATAACACCTTCAACTTACAAACCCAGTCTTGAAAACTGGCCAAAAGGATAACTTCAATCTTCGGCATAAAGCTGGAAAACTGAGCATGAATAACACTATGCACGCCTGCCACCTCTGCTGAGAAAGCCATGTACTTAGTAAATCAGAACTCAAAGAAAGTTTGGGAGGGTTAGGTTGCAGACAGCCTACAAAGACTTCATCATCTACTGCATAAATTAAGGACAAGACCAAATTATGTTATTTGCTACTCGCTCCCAAACCACAAGATAAGATAACTTTCTGAATGAATTTCTTTAATTACTTCTTCTAAACCATCAACATGTTTTTTAGACTCCACAAAGAAGTCCTACCATTAGTTAATCCTATCTTAAATATGATCATCCCATCTCTATTAATGGGCTACATACTACAGGCCTAAAAGCTGCCAGTAATTAAAAATCTATCACTTCACCCAGCTCACCAACCTTTATATTATGTCAAAAATTCTTGACAGAGTATTTGTGAAACAGCTAACTGATCAGAAACCCTTTCTTTGAGTTTCTATCACGGTTCAGAACTTTCAGTACAGAAACAGTATAGTCACTGTTACAAATGATGTTTTTGCCTCTGGCAGTGGAGTGAACTGTGTGCTTGTCCTGCTAGAGTTCAGTGCAGCATTCGATACAATTTACCATAGTATTTTACATTCTTACAACGATTAGAGCATGCTTTAGGTATGAAACCTACTGTGCTGCAGCGGTTTGTTAATTCATATCGATTGGCTTTCTTCATTGGCTCCCTATTAAATCCAGAATTGAATTTAAACTCCTTCTCATATGCTCAGTCGTGAATAATTAAGCCTGATCTCATCTTAAAGACTTCACAGTAGCGCATCACCCAAATACAGTACTTTGCTATCACTGGGAACCACAAGTACGATGGGAGCCAGAGCCTTCAGATTTCAGACCCCTCTTTGTCTGCTGCCATAGGCCTAGGCTGCTAGGGGCTTCCCGTGATGTATCGTTCCTTCACTCACTGTGTTTTTATATACATCTCTGCATTTAATCATTGGTGATTATTAAGTTATGGCATTTGTTATGTCTTCCTCCCACCAACCCCAACCAGTGGCGGCAGATGGCTGCCCATTTCAATCTCCCTTCAATCGGCCAGTCCCTGTCACCAAGCTGAAATTCCCAGTCTTATCCATCTCCCCCATCATTCCAATAGCCTGGTCATTTATGTTGATCTAGAGATCAATTGCAGTCATTCTAACAGAATGATTACATTTACCCCTCTTACCCCTCTGCAGCCTCCTCCTTGTAAGCTTGCAGCTCTTGCAGCAAGACACTAAAAAATAATTAATTTTCTCATGAAATGCATTTTAACTCCGTGAGATTTTTATTCCTCCCTTCAGCTCAGTCTTGGGTTCTGTTTGAGTGATTGTGATAAAAGTTGTCATTGTTGTACTTAAAATTTGTAAACCTTGCCTTAAACTGCAGGCACATTCCATGTAAGGTTCTGGTTTCTTTATTTGGTAAGGAATGTTTACTTCCTGCCCTTTATGTGCTCACCTTTGCTTGTATATGGTGGACCATTAGATTTCAGGCTTTTTCACTGCAAATTGGAATTCCTCATGCCTCTTATAGGCATTTCTTCTGAGAACTGACAAATCAATTCGTATAACTGTGTATGGACTTTCTTGGCATTTCAGGCCTTCGCAATGTTGCTAATCCTCAAATGTTTCATACTCCTTTAGGCCATGGTAAGATTGGTTCTCTTTTCTTTGAGGGTCCTGCTTTAATTCTGTATACAATAAATTGTGTTCAGTTTAATTAAATTCAGTTTTATCAATATAGCGCCAAATCACAACAACAGTCGCCTCAAGGTGCTTTATATTGTACAGTAGATCGTACAATAATACATACAGAGAAAAACCCAACAATTATGACCCCCTATGAGCAGCACTTTGGCGACAGTGGGAAGGAAAAACTCCCTTTTAACAGGAAGAAACCTCCAGCAGAACCAGGCTCAGGGAGGGGCGGGGCCATCTGCTGTGATTGGTTGGGGTGAGAGAAGGAAGACAGGATAAAGACATGCTGTGGAAGAGAGACAGAGGTTAACAAAATTAAATGCAGAGTGATGTATAAACACAAGGTTACTGAAGAAGAAAAACTCGATGCATCATGGGAATCCTGAGCAGCCGAGACCTATGGCAGCGTCAGTTCCTACAAATGATCTCTCCTTATGGTTGTTGTGATTTGGTGCATTACAACTAAAATTAAAGGTAAATATTTAAATAAAGCTTAGCAACCTGTATCAAATACTATTCTTGTATTCATTCCTTGTAGGTTAAGTAAACTTTGACGCTTCAAAAATAGAAGTATTGTCAAAGTGAGAGGAAATCTGTTAACCTTAAAGTTGCTCTGACATTTTCCTGCATAAATAGAAAAGTAGAAATAAATCAGATTTTTTTTTTGCTACATAAAAATACTTCTGAATAAGTACTCAGCATGCAATATTTACTCACGTGAGACTTCTTCCCATAGTATGGAAAAAACATCTTATCCAGACGACCCTCAGACGGAAAGTACTGCATCTGCAAGGAAGTGGCTCTCTACGAGAGAGTGAGGCACATATACAGTTCTTCAATTTAATAGTTCGAAAAAGTAATTTCATTTACTACGGAAACCTTCTAATTTGCACTTCTAAAAATGTGGTGAATTCTCCTTTTACGTTTCTCCTCTGCTTCACAGGTGCACCATGGGATATTTGCATGTTGTGGGTTACCTTGGCAGTGCAGTTGATGTAGGGATCTCCTTCTGGTTTCAGGCCGATTACCTGCAGACAGGTTTTTAATTAGTATTCACGCAAGTCATTTTTGGCTTTTTTAAAATCAACAAGTGCTTCACTGACCCGGTTCAGCTTGATTATGATGCAGGGTTTCCCCTCCTTGAACCCAAAGCTGGGGTCAGGCAAACCAGAACACTGACGCAGTGTACTTCGTTTAAACTGACAAACCTTCTTTATCGGCTCATTGTCCTGTGTAGTGTATTCGCCCACCATACACAAGTCATTACGCTCCTGAATACTGTCATTATAACCTGAAGAGGAAGAAAGACAAAATGAGGCTTGTATGTCTGAGCAGGGGCAGAGTCGACACTACCGTATTAGACAACACACAGTAAAGTCGATCAACTCTAGATCAGGGGTGCGCAACTCCAGGCATCGAGGGCCGGTGTCCTGCAGGTTTTAGATCTCACCCTGGGTCAACACACCTGAATCAAATGATGAGTTCATTCCCTGGAGAACCATAAGACATGTTGAGGAGGTCATTTAGCCATTTAAATCAGCTGTGTTGGATCAAGGATAAATCTAAAACCTGTAGGACACCAGCCCTCCAGGCCTGGAGTACCCCACCCCTGCTCTAGCTCTGATCCTACAAACCCATCCATCCATTTTCTTCTGCTTATATGGGGCGAGGTCACGGGGGCAGCAGCCCAAGCAGAGAAGCCCAGACCTCCCTCTCCCCAGCCACCTCCTCCAGCTTATCCGGGGGAACACAAAAGCATTTCCAGGCCAGCCGAAAGATATGATCTCTCCAGCCTGTCCTGGGTCTGCCCCGGGGCCTCCTCCCGGTGGGACATGCCCGGAAAACCTCGCTCATGAGGCACCAGGGGATGTCAGATGCCCAAACTACCTCAACTGGCTCCTTTCGATGTGGAGGAGCAGCAGCTCTACTCGGAGCCCCTCCCGGATGGCCGAACTTCTCACCCTATCTCTAAGGGAGAGGCCAGCTGTCCTTCGGAGGAAGCTCATTTCCGCCGCTTGTATTCGCGATCTCGTTCTTTTGGTCACTACCCACAGCCCTTGACCACAGGTGAGGGTAGGGACGTAGATCGACCGGTAAATTGAGAGCTCCACTTTTACACTTGGCTCTCTCTTCACCACAACAGACCGGTACAGCGTCCGCATCACTGCAGCTGCTGCAACAATCCATCTGTCGATCTCCCGCTCCCTTCTCCCATCACTCATGAACAAGACCCCGAGATACTTGAACTCTTCCACTTGGGGCAGGGTCTCGTCCCTGATCCGGAGTGGGCACTCCACTCTTTTCCGGCCTACAAACCATTTCACTTTATCAATATTTCTTTGATTTATCGGTCAGCCTTCTGCCAGTGTAGCTCAGGACTCTTACATGAGCTTCTTCATCCGTCCTGTTGGAATTCTTTTGTCTTTGAACATGTTTCATACAGTTTTGAATCACTGCAAGCACATGTAATTCAGACAGCCACAGAGCTTTATCAATCCATGATACTGCCTGCATTGTGTTTCACAGATGGATGGCATGTTGGCTGTGAGCATGCAGCTATCCAACCTCAGATGTGCTGCAGTGTTTATGTGAAAAGCAATGTTTCTTCTGTGGTTTACATACATTAACACGACTTTTCAGGGTTGTTTGATGCTGTCTACTGATCTGATCTTCCTGCGCTGTATATAGTTTCTCAGTTTTTACCAGAGTGTGTGCTCAGTTCAGGTAAAATTATTATAGTACTGTTAGGCTTAATTGGCTTCCGTCAAAATGTACATCATCATACTCAAATCCTTACTCTGACATATGTGACTGGAACTAAACACCTAAATGAAGAGGCAGAGCTCAGAGTACATCATGAGTGGACTCACTGATCCACCTCACCAGGATCTACAGCAGAGGTGGAGCCAGACACTTTATACACCCGGGGCTTAGCCACCTGCTTCACGTGGCTGCTAGGGACATTGATGAATACACAGACTCAGTCTGCGGATTTATCAGGA